CTCTCTGCTATTCTCCCCCAGGTCCTTCTGAGTTTTCTGCAAGTGTGAAAGCTCTATAAGAAGACATTGAAAATACTTTTATCTTTTTAATAGTAGACATTTTTCTTAATATTTTGGGGACCAAACTGAAGCCATCACATGGGAGTAAGAAAACTACAAAGCCCATACTGCTCCTTTTCTGTTATACACTTCACACAGTTGTAACTTACAAGCACAAGTATTTGTACAAAGTAAAGCAATGGCTTTATGCTAACCTTAGATTTTGTTTAACTTTCTATTGCAATTACAATGTGATGTAAAAGCTTGTTATCTCCAAGCCTGTGTTAGCATATTCTTTAGGTTATCTAACTTTTAATTATCTTTTTGGACAAGGATTTCAGCATTTATTCTGCTTTGTTCTGCAAATCTTCTGGTGTGTATCAAATCTCTGGTGTTTTTCAAATTCTAGCGTGGGGGGCAACATAATTGAAGAAATAAGGAAAGCCATGGAAAATATGGAATTTGTGGAGGAAATAGAGCTTCAACTCGTGACATTCAACTTTTTTTAATACACAAAGTTTATTACACAGCAGCCTCACTGGATTCAAAATATCTCACTCTGACACTGTGCCTATAGCAAAAAATGTAACCTCTTATGTAACTATACATTTCCATGACATTTAAGCAGGAGAATGGACTTCGCCCCAGAGGACCCTGGTGCAGTTTGTGGAATAAATGGTTGACTTCAAAAAACATTCCCCTCCCACAACCATAACCAACATTGTATAGGGTCACTCCAGATCAGAATTCCCACAGGCAGATTCTCCTCGGGTGTTTAGATGCGATATTAACATAGTATGAACCAAGTTGCTGAGATGACCCCACCTGACCTCAGAATATTGGAGGAATAGCTTTGTGCTTATTATTCAGCAGTGTCACCGAGAGTAGATGTTGAGATGCAGAGTTATCCATCAATACCTATAAAAGTCTGTAATGTATTCCTCCGTACAGCTGAAGAAGCACAGAAATTGTAAAGTAAAGTAAAAGTTCAACTGTGGTAACTGTGGGCCTGCTCACAGCCTCAGCCACACCTAAATCAGGAGCATGTGACATACTTTAGATACGTTTATTTTGGATGAAGTTCATGATAGAATTCTTGACAATTGTCTCTTCATTCACTTTTAATTTCAGATTAACACCAAATCCAAGTGCAACACATGAGCTGTTCACTACAATCTGCCTCTTACATTGTCTGTGAGTAAATTCAGATTGATTCATGTGCAAGAGCCTCATCAACAGATGTCTGATGATACTTCATAATCACAATACTTTTTTCATCATATTTTATTGCAATTCTGAATATTTAACAGGATACTTAGTATTGCTGTGAAGTATATTGTGATTGATCACCTTTTGTTCAGCATAAATTGATGCCTCGGAAGCAGAAAGCTGTGATTAAATAAAAAGTTTCAGTAAAGGTGCAGTTTAGACAAAAATGAAATACAACAAGAACAACAAAAATTGTCATGTGATGTAGTTTTGTTCGCACCTGGATGTGAAACAAATAAATATCCTCCATCTTTGTGTTTATCTAACCTTTGCTAGCACTTCCGGAGTCAGACTCAGCACAATTTATTTGACTGAAAGCCATTGATAATATGATTCTAGTTACAAGTCTATTTTTTTCTATAACAGTGTAATAACCCAAATCATATAAAGCCAATACTTTGGGTCCATGCATGGATACAAGATGGCGACATTAAGTGCAGAACATACTATTTATACTGTGCTATAGTAGCTCAATATACATTTTGTTTGTAACAAACAGAACAAATGTGGTGCATTTGAAGGGTGATCTTAGTGACATGCTCAGGCAGTGAGGCACCAAAGCTTTGCCATGAAACTGTTGCTTTGTTTACAGTGTGTTTGTGCATATCAAAAGACCAGAGGCTTCACAATAAACACATGCATTTGCTCATAAAGTTTTGTTGGAGAGCAAATGTTTGTTTCCATTATGTCCTTTAATAACCGTGCACACGGTGAACACAGAGACACTCAGGCACTTTGGTTGCATTCATTTGCTTGTGATGTGTGAAGTGGAGCTGCCATATTTTCATTTGATCTTCAGAAAGGACAAAACAAGCTCTTTGTTTGTGGATGTAGCCATGGCCCTTGCCCTCAAATTCGCCCCAACCGGCACCCGCCAATTCATCTCTGTCCCAGAATCACCCCAAGCCCCCACCCACCAGCCTCAGTTCCCACAAGTAGGAAAACACCCATGACATTCACGCTCCACTTTCTAAACCCAACGAAACACACACACACACACACACACACAGTGAGTCACCATCAACGAGTGTGTTATTAACGGCCCCTGACATTATGTAGTAATAACATATGATATATACTAATCTGTCCGTTTGATCAAAAAGTTGAATCGCTCAGTCAGTGTTTAAAGAGCTTGTGAATACAAATGTGGCCTCTGCTCTGAACACTTTATCTCTTATGTTTTAATAGATTTCAGACTTTGATTTAAATAGTCTCTTAGCAACTTTACAAGTGGGATAATTTAACAATTCAAAAGCTTTTTAGACAGCCACAAAATGTCAAAACTGTTTGCTACCAAATTCCAATGACAAATCTCACACTGTAAAGAAATCAATTTCCCCCTCACTCTTATCACAGACAACCTCCATCACAATGGCCATTTACCTGTGAGAGATTTCATCATGTGGATGTGATCGCCCCCAGTGTGGCACTCTCTCTCCTGCCAGGAGGATCTCAAGGGGAGTAATTCCTTATTCTGTTTCTGCTGGAGTCCGCAGGGCATGGTAATCTAACTCTATATAAATTGTATCCTCTGACCTTCTCTCACTATATCAGATTGAAGTGGAGGAGGCATACCTCTAGTGCCTCCTTTGGTCTTTCAATGCATAATTGAACAATGGATAATGGAACTTATATGATAAAAAATATAGTAGATCTCAAAGTAAAGGTTGTGGTCTACCTGGATGTGGAGAAGCACTTTGGAGTTTCTGATATATTCATTGTGCCAAATGACTTTTCCGTTCTCCAATCCTTGTGCATTATATTGCTTTATTTCTCATCACTGTATAGATGGCCATCACTGCAATGTGTGTCATACAGGAGCTGGAGGAGCAGCAGGAAATATCCAGACAGAGAAGGATAAAATACTGATCAGTGAAGCAATGAAGTCATCTACTTGTGAAAACATGTGCTCACTCTTGTGTTGCAGAGAGAGAGACATCAACAAATAGCATTACAGCAAGACAATGCCACGCTCAGTACAGACAGTTTTGACAAGAAATGAAGAACTGGACAGAGCCTGACTGTTCTTAAAGCTGTGTAGCATTACAAACAACTAATGAAAGAGAGATTTTCAGGGTGCTCTGTTTACATGACAGGACACCTCTCATCACTCTTTTAAAAGACTAACTGTCGTCAAAATACTTGCTGCCTAACTTTAAGATGAGGCTGTAGTTCAATCTGTTAAACACAGAAGATTCAAATAAGTTTTAAATGTTCTCAGGAGTCATTATAATGCTAGCCTAAAAATGAATACCTCCTCTTGGAAATCCTCTTTAGTGTGTTAGCTCTCTCTCTCTCTCTGTCAAACACACACATACACACTGTCCTAACATGTCTGGTCCTCTTTGTGGGATATTTACAACCTGTTAGTAAAGTTTAAAAAAAAAAGTTTAACTCAAAGCTTGAACTTCAGTTTTTCACTCCACCAAAGCTCTTTTCAGGAGTTTTTAGCGGGTAATGAGAACTAACTCAACTAAATGCTGATGCCTTTTTATGACCTACAAAAGAAAACCAGACCATCACATATTAGATTGGTTATTATTGTTATATTCAATGCCTGTGCCTTTTGGTAGTTGTGAAGAAAAGCGATTATCCGCACCCTGCAGAAACAGCCGTCTTTTTAGTTTTCCACAGCAAAGATTCACAGGGAGGGATACTTTTTACTGTCAAAGACAAAATGATGATATTTTTTGTAAGGAAACACTCCTCAGTAATTTACAGGACAAGATAAGCAAAATGAAAGGAGGCACTTAGTCCACAGGGGCTTCCTAAATTGAGACAAATTGAAAGTTTGTCAAAATAGCTTCAATGTATGCAAAAGCATAATGTGTATAATGAAGTAAATTTACTATTTGGCTTCAATGCATTCTGCCTCCTCCTCTTATATTCTGCACAGGTCTTTGTTATGTTAATCCTGTGGCCACTTTCTCACCCACTTAATGTCCCATGTGTGGGCAGGCAGACTTTCCACTCACACCAGCTCACTCAGGAGCCACCACATTATCTGTGGAAATGAAACTGCTTGTGTGCATATTTGACAATCAGCTATCAGACAAAAAATATCCATTCACAGAAAGAGCATCCCATTGATAATCAACTATCTCCTCAAGATCCTTTCAATGAACTTCCTGCAGGCAGTGGCTGAAGCCGGCTTCGAATGCAGCATAGTCCTGATTAAACTGCCAGACAGAAAAGTTGTGATTATTTCAATGGCAAAGCTATCCACACATTTAACACCGTGCTGCTTCTTAAGCACCAAGGCCAAGCCCATGTGTCTGCATAATGAGCCCCATCCCCTGTTCGATCAGAGTCGTCCCTGCTCGGTTCAAAGCCCTGTGGCTGCTCTGTGGCAACGTCCAGGGAGCTGCTCCTTAGGTAACGTGCTGCAACTTCACTACGAGAAAAGCCTTCCAGCGCGTCCCAGGAGAGACACCCATGAAGTAACAATACACCCCTGCCTCAAACGCACAGGAGAGGCCACATGAGGTGAACACGGAATCCGGTGGGGACATTGCACGAACCATGCAAGGTGCACATTCACCCAATCGCTTTCTCTTGTTTTTTTTTTTTTTTACCACAGCCCACTTGAATTCTAACTAACTACACTACAGTGTAATACAAGAATCCCCCCCCCCCCCCTCACACAAAACACTCCACTAAAAGCATGCAGATGATTAAAGTAAGCGCGTTACCTTGCTTGGATGGACCACAAAACAGCGAAAGAAAACAGAACAGCCAAATAGTGCTCTCCACCGCCATGTACAGCCTTTGATTTCCACCAGTGGGGTAGCAGCGTTCGTCTATACAACCAGCTATACCGTTATAGCGACATGCATACGTTGGAATCCGCTATTGTCTCCGCCGGTGCGTAAAGGAGTCCTCGTGAATGTTTTCGGTCTTTAGGCGAACAGTCCCCACTCTTTTAACTAACTAACAGTGTTGCATTAGTCTGGGGAGAGCCGTCGTGTCTCTCGGCGCTTCAACGCCATGTTGCGAACGAATGTTAAGTGTGTGTTGGCTGCTGGTCCACACCACACACACACACACACACACACACACACACAGAGAGAGAGAGAGAGAGAGAGAGAGACACGCACACACATGCTAGTGGACGCACGCACGCGCATGCACGTTCACCAGACACTGGCTGGCTGGCTGCTCGTCGCTGGAGTCCTGAAAAGCTGTCGGTGATTTTAACACACCCCTTTTCCTCCTTTTTTGTCCAACTCCACGCTTTCCAAAGACACTTGGAGGATTCATTCAAAGCGGATACGCAAGTAGATACACTAGCAATATAAAATTTGTCAAAAAATATTTAACCCCAGGCGCCCTCTCTCTCTCTCTCTCTCGCTCTCTCTCTCTGGAATGATGAATTCGTTAGGGTAATGCCTCATTCTCTGCAAGATTAAAGCGAAGTATGCAGGATGGTCACGCTTAGCAGTTATCTGTAATGACTGCCAATTTGTTGCCCCGAATGAACCCAAGGTTTCAGACAGTGGTTATTTTTTCGAGCATTCACTAGACACACATTTTAGTGCAGACTCTATTTTATAACTGTGCAAAATCCTCCGATTAATTCATTAAGACATCCTTGTGTTTTTAGGTTGCTCAATATGCGATAGAGAACATGCACCTTTGTTTATGCAAGTGCACGTATATGAAGGCAAGGCTGCAGGATGCCAGTGTGTAGTATAGCAGGTTTGTCTGAAAAAAAATGGAGAGTAGGAGAGGCACATGTGCTCCCTGTGCAAGAGCAGGCAGGAGGAGGAGGAGAAGGCGAAGGAGGAGGTGGGGATGGTGGGGACGAAGGGGTGGGGTTGGTGGGGTGTTGGTGGTGTGCATCCCAATCAATCAGCCGGCTCGCCTACTGCACTGAGTGCTGAGGGACCCACTGACTTTTGCACATAGCGGGAGCCAGCTGGAGCCCAGCCTTCCCCGAGCAGACAAAGACTTGCCTCATGCAGGACTCTCAGCATCACTGATATCAGCAGCATCCTAGTATTCACCAGCATGCACAGAGAAAGCAGGAGAGGCAAACACACAAAGGCTTTCACAATATAGATACAGCCTTCGAAATTACATAAAAACCTTGACTTGTTACACACAAACATCTTAAATTGTAAAGTGCAAAACCCACCTTTTGATGTGACATCCACATAGGTTAAAATTTGTTTTGGGATTAAAATAAATCCTTATACAGACTCTTTCAACATCTTAATCTTAGTGAAACATTTGTGCTTTTGAGTACAGCTCTGTTTTGTTTATAAAAAATGCCTGAACAACATGTTTGCAAGGAATATTCATTATGTTGTCTTCAGCATGTTAAAGCAAGACAGAAACTCATAAAGCAATGATGGAGTCCCACTAAGGATATCATATTTTGTTTAGCTCGATTTCTCATCTCAGTGTATTCATTTAATCCTGATCAGTGATGGATTGGGGATGATGAAATGAAATGGGACGGATGCATTTCCCAGGTGTCTGATTAAAGCGAATGTCTGGGCCATCAGCAAATGTGATTGCATTGGAAAACTAATAGCATTGGTGTGTCCTCTGTGATTGTGGTCAAGCTGTAATTTCCATGATACTCCCTTTCCCTCCAGCTCCAGTGGAATAATGAACACAAACTACCAGCTGCTCGCAAATTGCTCTACGAAAGCTTCATGATCTGAACAAAAAAAACATGTTTAAGAATTAGCTTGATACATTTGTTCACAAAATGTCAACCCTCACAATCTTTATGGAGATTTGTAAGTTCCCCTCTATTGATTACAGAGTGCACATGTGCTGCTGTACTGTATGGTCATTGTTGTAAATGCTTTTGCCAGGCCAATCAACCAATACATTTTAATTTCCAATGCAACAAATGCAAAAAAAAAGCTTTCCCATGACACTTTTATGTAGAGACTGCAGTCTAATGCTAGTGAAATGACTAGTGTATTGACAGAAGTACGAAAAGCTGATTTATTAGATGGTACGACCTGCTTCCAGCTATGGTCTTAATTATAAGTAACCTGATTCCCTTTAACCAAAGTCAAACTGAACATGCTGTTGGAACAGTTGAAACCCCATCAACAATTTGTTACCCTTAAAAACACGACTTACTATTATGTATCCCAATATTGTAGAGGCAAATTTAAAGCAACTTTGCATTTATTTTAACAATTTACTTTTGCAATAAGAGGGCATTTTTTTCAACAGGCACAGCTTTCTTCCCCCAGTAAAATAATGAAAACCATTGATCGCTCAAAATAAAGCAGACCATTTGCTGAGAAAATTATTTACACATTTGATGCCTTGCCCACTGAGACCAATTAGTATAGTAAACTTGTCTGGCTCGTGTCAAACTGCAAGCGGTTTTAGTACTTTTTCTTGGCAGTGAGAGGTATGTTGGATTTGCTGTTCTTCTTTGATAACAAATTAGGCTTTCCTCTACTACAGAAAATACTGTAATTGGTTGGTGAGGAGCTGAGCACCTGCTTCTGTCCAGGATATGTCTGTCTTAGTTGCTGTGTATTCACACAGTGAGAAAAAAAAACACTTTTCTTGAAATAGTTGCATGGGCAAGGCAGTGCTTGTCTTTCTCTTAATTTCGATAGATATAAAAGATCTGAACCCCACTTTGCCATGAGTTACCACTTGCACCAATTACCCTGGTCCACCCTTGATCCTAGCTTACCATCTCCTCCAAGTCCTCACCTTGCTTCCTGCTTTGACCAAGACATGTTTGACTTCCTGTGCTTTTGACGTCGCAGCTGCAGATTTTTGTAATGACTTAGTGGAATGCTGCTCCGACTCTTAGGCAGCCCTAGTTGTCCCCTTTTTTTCTCGAGGACCTCCAATGTGGAGACTGGCATCTTGTAAAACTGGAGTGGCTATGTGATTTAGGGTCAAGTGGGACATGCTTTCATAGCAGACCAACTTGGAGAGTTAGCTACCAACTCTCCAAGTCAAAGCAGATAAGAGGTATCAGGTGAATGATGTATCCTTCAGGGTGCTGTTGAAAACCTTTCTAAGGTTCTTTACTGATTTTTCTTGTAACTCCGACTTTAGTAACACCTTGAATACTGAAAATAAACAGTATCCACCTACAGCCTAGTACCATCTCTCTGGTGACAGATCATCTTTAAAGGCCATGATGGGAGATTGGTGCTTTGTGTATTTCATCTTGGGCCCTTTGCGCTCTGGCTCAGAGCAGGTTTTACGATAATGTTCATGGCCAAGGAAAACAAATTTACAGAGATGATGGCCCCTGTGATTATCCCTACTTCAGTCTTGGCCCGCCTGATGTTATTGCTTTTAATATACTTTGTGGTTCAAATGCTATAGTTGTTGCTATAATACATAAAAGGTTTTTCATTAAAATTTTAGTACAATTATATAATATGTAGTTAATATTTCATCAAATGATGCAAATCTCTCCAAGGAACAGTAACGTACATGTATATGATGGTTTCCTGATGTGCTTCAATAGTTACCGAGGGTGCAAGGACTGCAGAATTTATGTGAGAAAATGATGCATCGACATTCAAGAGGTAGGTTATTATCTAAGTCTTTGTTTGAAATGAATCTATGATTGTGTTCTATTGACAATGTTTAAGTGATGGAATTGAGCATTTCAATAAGGAAAAGTCATTACCATACATTTTACAGAGTTTGGTCCCTCAGTTTGAAATTCAATGCTGGGTTATATGTATAAATGGGAGTGTGAAGCAGTCCATTACTGTTGAATATTTTAATTATGTTTAGCCTTCTTTGCGTTCTATTGTTGTTTGCCCTACGCCAGTGGTCACTCATTCACACACAAATTCACACACGTACAGTATATCAGAGGCTGTGACATAAAGTGCCAAACTGCCCATCAGTGCTATTTCATTCACACACATTTACACATTAATGGCAACTTTGGGGAGCAATTTGGGGTTTAACAATCACATTTTTTTCAAGTATATAAAGGAACAAGAAAATAATCCTTGTTTCTATTATATTGCTCTGTTAAGCCTTTTTTTATCATTACAAGAGGAGTTTCAAAAGTAGAAAGTTGTTTAGAAGTGACAGCAGTTATTATTGGGTTTGAAATTTGAAAAGAAGCAATTTGTTCTTTGTGTCTCTTTCTCTTGTGTGCGAGTCTGTAAATGGTAAATGGACTTGAGCTTCTATAGCGCTTTTCTAGTCTTCTGACTACTCAAAGCCTAACCCTAACCCTACACATTCACACCCTGGTGGCAGTGGATGCTATGTGACCATCAGTATTAACTAATCCCATTCATACGCATTCATACGCCGCATACGAAGCTGCGGGAGCAATTCTGGGCTAAGTGTCTTGCCCAAGGACACGTTGCTCCAGGAGCTGAGGATCGAACCCTCTACCTTCCGGTTGAGAGACGACGATGACTCTACCAACTGAGCCCCAGTCGTCCCTGTAAGGTTTGTGTGTTTGAATAATAAGTACAGTTGTATCCGTGGTGGCTGTCTTTAATTTTCCTCAAGGTCAGAGAAACAGAATCACATCTAACAGCAGAGCATCTCCTGAATAGAAAAGGAAGACCACTGAGTGGCTGACAGACAGATGGCACAGCGCCCTCAGCTGGAGGTGCTAAGGAGTGACAACATCAGGCCCAGACACAGACATGCATCATTCATGTCAGCACTACAAAGGCAGCCGCGCTGATCAGAATGCTGAGCAATCCAAGTGCACAAAGACAGATGTTTTCTACCTGCTGAAAGAAGAGCCATAATTGACTGTATATTTATTTTGTCAGTTTTCTGATGTTTGCCTTCTTTCCAATAATTTTAGAATCTACTTCCCTTTTTTTCTTTTTTTTTTAAAGACAATTATAGTCTGAGCTCCATCTCCAGCCAGGTCCACTCACCAGCTGTGAACTGTTTAGTTAACAAACACTGTATGCTACGATCCATGCCTCATGTTTGGATATGTAAATGAGGTTGGTGTATGATTGCCTCGCCACAATGTTATTCCACCTCCTTCCGCTGGAGGGTTGCCCTCCAAATGCTTGGTCTGGAGGAAAGTGTCTCCATAGAAACCAGGACAACGGTGGCACATGGGCTTAGGGGGTGACTGGGCAAATGCAGGACAATGACACTTGGGGTGCACTGGTGCTGGGCCACAAGTGAAGTTTAAAGCAGGGGTATTGAGTGTTGAACAACAGACACTCACTTTTGCATCATTTAAAGTGCATTTACATGTCAAGTGATAAAGATTAATAAACGTGCTCATGTATGCTGAAGTAGGCTACTAAGTTTGTATGTGTCGGTGTGTGTATGGGAAAGTTTTTTTGACTTTTCTCCTTGAAAGATTTTCAGTATTTCTATGATGTTCAATAAATGCTGATGAAAAGATATCCGGCCCTTCTCCTATCCTTCATTTCCTCTCTTCTTCTCTCTGCCTTCTTCTATTTTTCCCTCCAACCATTCACATTATCTCACTATCTCATTGGATACTTAATATCCTGCCTTCTATCTGTTTCCAATGCAGTAAGATGACAAAGCACACAGCAAAGATAACCCAGAAAGACTCATTGTGTTGCATTGATGCTGTCTTGGGAAACTCGTGGGGGAAATCGGACTCATTCAATCTCTGCAGAGTAAAACACTGTGGTTGGTTCGTGAGCTGAAGTTGGAGGGAGAAGGTGGGCTGTGTAAATGCAGAGGAGGGCCATTATTTCCTGAAAGAAGCAGCCCTTGTCCTAATTAGCCTGAAAAGTAGATTCTGAATAATATTGTAAATTGAAGATTGCGAGGCGCGTAAAGAAATTCATCTCAATGGCTGCCTTGTTTGGTGTAGAGACGAGAGAGGCGTAATAAGAGCTGGAGTGAGGAAGACAACAAAGAGGCAAGATTGCGAGACCACTTATAACCAACTCAGTCTATGTCAAAGTGGCTATAGAACAACCTGTTAGAAACACGTCTAGACTGAAGCTCTTTCTGATGCATATTAATGAAAAGAGGAGCGGGAAAATGAGAGTGTCATAGAAGTGACAGTAAGGGAAGAAAGAAGGGTCCCTGATGCATTCAAAGTAGCTTATAAAAGTTTATTAAAAAAACATGTTCTTATGAGCCATATGCACTTTCTTTTTTTCCTGGACACACTGTACTGATCTTTATTCTGATATAAAGCAAATGTCTAGACTATGACTGCTTACAGTTTTCTATGCCCATCTTTGTTTTATGCTACTTCCTTCACTTTCTTTGAAATTCAGAACTGGAGAAGATCCATATGGTGATGACCTGCTTTCTGCCCAGTATAAGCTAGCAGAGAAGTTCCTCAGGACTTAACAAGGAGATGAGGGAGAGGAATGGATGGATCTTATTTTTAGCATTTCTCATCACATAATTTAAAAACGTTTATATAGAAAGGGGCAAATGACTTACGGTATGTCTTAGTTTGTCATTAAGATGCTCAGTATCTTTTAGAAAATGAGTCACTCTGCTGTTACAGTTCCTATTTGTGCTGTTTACTCTCTCTCTGTTACATATATCAACACATGACTTACATCTGTAAGTAAAGGCTGTTACCAAATTTCTATTGTTAAGTAGTTTGTGATATTCTGCTATTTAAAGCTTTTTTTAAGTGAATGTATTAACCTCTACTTCCAGAAAAAATGTATCCACACAGTATAAAGTTATGTACAGTGATTAAAACCCATTTCATTGGTGACGACATATGGATGGTGTTCATTATGTCCATATGGTTTGATCAGGGCACATTTGCACCTGTGATTAAGGTTAAAATTTAGAATTATAGAGTAACTCATTTCCATAGTTCTTCCTTTTAATTCATTTCTATTTACTCTGTCAAAACACAGCACCATGGCAACTTAGATAATATCATTTTTTTCAAGTTGTATTGCCCGAGAGAGTTTGATTTATTTAGCCTGCATACAGAAAAGGGTATTTTTGGCCTTTGTTATCAGTTACAAATCAAATCATTGGAGGTACATCAGAAAGCAGTAATCAAAGTGTGGTAAAGGCCAGAGCTGCATATTTGACAAAAAGTACATATCAAATTAATCTGTTAACTACAGTGAGACCACGATGTCAGGCACAGCCTACATGATTTTATGATTCATTCATTCATTACAACCAATGGGTCTTGACAAAAATGACCCAAAGTCATAAAATCATTTTTGGACTTGTTCTTTTCTTCTACTGTATATGCCTAAATGTGACAATTTTTTTCTATGTACTTTATGTTGCTGTTATATGTACACTTTTCAAACTAGAAACTGAGTAATGTCTGTTTTGAGACCTGTTGTACTGTACAGTACTGCTGGACTTTTACCCATCCATCATAGCTCCAAATATGAAACAGGTGGCTCCATATTGTGGATTAATTACCAACTTCTCCTGCCAGCTAAATTTTTTTTTCTTTTGAGCAAGCCAAGCAAATGAATGCCAACAAGTGTGCACAGTGTCGAGAGTGTCCTGTTGAATCTAATTTAGAGTTTTGTTTTTGAATTAGTACAGACACTAACTGCAATGAAACAGCGCTCCCTGCTGGAGAGATAGAGTAAATGTCTTATTTAAGTCAGATACACATACTAAGGCTCACATTTGGTTCTGGGCACTGATATAACATGATGCCTTTTATCAAACAGGGTATCAAAAAGCCAAATGTACAAAAAGAAGAGTAGCCTATGTATAGCCCTATTAAACAGGAGAACTACGTAGGCCTTTTACTAACATTGATACGTTCTTATTAGAAACTATAACTTGTTGTGTGTCTGTGTGGGTTTTTTTTAATAGATATATATGTAGGCTAGTTTATAGATGATGCACACGCTGCTGCGTCATATTTCTACGGCAAAGAATCATTGCTGCTCGACACAGCCGAAGCAACATAACCATTTACACAATGTCTCTCATTTCAGACGAGCTGATTTAAAGATGTACTTAAATGATACAGTTACACTTGTTTGCACTTCAACGCTAAGTCGGTGTGTCAGGGTTCAGAACCATGGACAGAGGGCTAAACAGTGATTGGGTCAACAATACAACGTCAAGGATTGGAGTAATCTGCCTATTGGTCTGAGTCAAAGTGACAGCAGAATCAAACGCGCTGATTGGTCGAGGGACGGAAGCGTTAGGATTTATTGCTCAGGGGAATGTCCAGGGTAAGATATTAAATTAGTCCGATAGTTTAGCTTAGAGACATCGTCTTATTGATTGTCTGCTACGTTTAACACGCTGAGACTTTCCCAACGGGAGCCTGTGGACTTTAAAGAGAGAAACAGCTGATCTCTGGGGAAGGTAAGAAGATTATGTTCTCCGTGAAATCCGTAATTCCTGCCGATGATGGGCCAGCCCTGTCAAAATATCCCACTGACGTCGCTATTAAACAATATTATTGGCCGGTGCTGGGACGTCTTGACTATGTTTGCAACAGCTGTGCGTGTCCAGTCTCTCTGGAGGAGTGTGGGGGCCCTTCTGGTTGTATTTAGTGAAACCGGAAGGATTCATCTGTGAAAATCTTATCAAGTGCGTCGAGACGGCGCCTGGAGGGCTCACACATTAAATCCCTGACAGGACGTGATAGCTTATCTTATAGCACCTTCTGTTACAACATGTTAATAACATAAGATGTGTTTCCCCACACCGTAGACCTGTACGATATTACCTCCTACATCAGCACCTCATAACCCCCCCTGTGTGTTTTTTTTTTTCGTTTGACAAGCTCAAGAGTCTGAGGAAGAAGTAAATCTACGAGCTACCTCTACAATCTTTCACATGGCAGGTCAGTCATTATAGAGCTGTATAACTGGGAACTACGATATGCAACAAGCTTTAACTTAACTGTTCTGAAATCATTGTCTCAGAGCCGAACTTCCCCCCACTGCCGGGCTTCATCCCTCTGAAGCCATGCTTCTACCAGGACTTTGAGGAGATCCCTGAACAGCACCGCAGCATGTGCAAGAAAATGTACCACCTGTGGATGTGTAAGTGAAGTAGAGTTACATTGTTGTATTAATTCTGCATCATAGGCTACTACTATATAAACTTTACCTTAAGTTCCGATGAAACTGACTTTTTTTCTGCCCCGACTATCTGACTCTCCTTTTAAAGAATAAAAAGGAGCCAACAGACTTTTCCTGAAGGTCCCATAAACCTTCCCCTCTGTAACTCACGATAAGAAGTACAATGTAACAGAAGGGCCATGGTCTACAAGGGTCCCTATAGTCCACAAAGATTTTGATTTCTTTTATTGGCTGTTATCCTGACTGGTTTATTTGCTAATGAGTCATGGCACTGACCAGATGGCCTTGGTTTGAGCAGAGCGGTAAACATTGAAATTGTGTTTGACAATTTTCGCCAGAAGCCCTTTCATCAAAGTTTATTACACCATAAACAAGCAGCACAATGATGCTTGTGATATTGCTCTGTTCTGAAAGCTCCCTGCCCATCCATGAAAGGGAGAGGAACAAAATCCACTGTGGCGTTTACACAGGTGCGACGACAATAACCTGGTAGTAAGAGAACGCCACTAAGCCAAATAACAGTTTGAAAACAAATCATACCCGGTAGCATCTGATTTGGGCCAAATACGCACGTCCAGAAGTGCCTCTCCACCTCAGTGAGCCTGCTGCAAATTACAGCTGGATATTTATTGTGTTTCCAGGAGATTTTTTTTATTAACAATTATCTTTTATTCTCAATGAGAATATAAATTCCTCTCTAAACTATTAATGATCGTGACGAACATTTTTTTCTACAGGGTTCTTCATTTTCAATATACGATAAACATAAGCAGGTATTTCAGCTGATATTCAAACTTACTAACATCTCCTTTCCCCCGTTACAATTTTCTGCATTCTGCTTGCACTTGCATTTACCATTTTCTACTTGTGCTTTTCAGTGTGTTTGTGGTTTCTTCTTGCATTGTGAAAATCATTTGAAGTTTTTTTTCTGCTGTTTCAAGACATTTAACTGTGTTCCTTAATAGCAGTCATGTTGCAGCTGTGTTTGGCCTCATAATTATCACAGTGCATTTTCTTTCACTGGCCCCAAATATGAAGCAGATCAGCCTGAAAACCTAGTTTGGAGAAGAGATGGAACGAAAGCACAGAGCTACAGTTATTCTTATTACATGCATGTTAAGCAGAGAGTAAACTGCAACCTCATAATATCTCTGAAAATTAATAGAAAATGACATGTACAAAAATGCTATTTAGGGAACACAAGCTGCATTGTCAACCACTGCAATTAAAGGCTTTGAAAAATGTTTTGCCTTCTTTCATCATATCCACTTTATTTTTTACTCCTTCCTGCATGTGCATGTCTCTGTATGTGTGCCTTAAACAGTGTTTTTCGTCCATACCTGAAATCCATTGTCTGTTTTTTTTTTGGGTGTGTTTAAGTGAATAGTGCTACTCTTGCGGTGAATCTTATTGGCTGCTTTGCCTGGATGTTTGGTGGTGGAGGTGTGACCAACTTTGGGCTGGCTATCATCTGGCTGCTCATGTTCACTCCCTGCTCCTACGTGTGTTGGTTTAGAGCCATCTACAAGGCCTTCAAGTAAGTCATATATGACACTCAAGTTTCAATTTCAAGTATTGTTGAATTAGTGTTTCGGTCATAACTCAAGGTAAAATTGTGTTTGTGTTGTTGAAATTGTTGACAGTCATCGTAGTTGAAGAAAGAATAAGGCAATGCATTAAAACACGAGAACACAATATTGAACTCGTATGTTATACTGACATATTATACAGAGAGGTAAAGTTGAATTCTACTGTTTGTGTTTTATCAGCTCAGTAGAGACAATAACTCTGTATGGTATAAAATATACTGAATGTGTATCCCGTGTTAGTGAGTAACCGATTGACAGAGAATATCTCTAGCTTTGAAAAGTAACTGCAGGCACATCTAGTGGTGAAGTGACACTATATGTCAGGTGATGTATCTGAAGAGCTGATTATAAATTTAATAACACTTATTCTTGCTTTTTGCTCTTACTTGTTTGTTTTCTCTATATATAGCTGTATTCCTAACATGGTTTTGTATTTCTTGTCTTGTCGGTTTTGTTCTGTTAGTATGAGAGAATTGCACACACACAGAACCGTACCATGAATGGCTCTGATTCTCACTCTACAGGCAGGAGACTGGGAGAGGGCATGCTCCTCTTAGTTATTTGTGGTAGAGAGAATACTTTGCAAATTCAGGGGAAGATGGAATGCTCTGTATCACAATGTATTGTATTGTATTGTGTCTACTGCACAAAATCAAATACAAAACTGTCACATATTTAAAAAAAGAAAAGACTTCTTTGATTGTTGGCATGGTAATTTGAATGTGTTTCAAGGGGTTTAGCATCATTCAAAACAAATCTTACCATTCTTCTCAATTGGGAAACTCATTGGCAATGGTCCATAGTACGGTGGCTCTGAGAAACTATTCTTCTATTCTCTGGAAGTTTTCAGTGGCAGCAGAAATAACTAGAGGAGAAATGTCACCCTGAACATCCCTTCTGTCCCTGTCTGTAAAACAACTTTGAAATCCTGTGTATGAAGATCATGCCTATCATGAGGTGACTCCCTTTACAGCGTTTGCATTTTATCAAGCAAAGCCGATATAAATATCTTAAGTCATTCATGTATCTTTGAACTTTAGTTCTGCTTTTTGAACAGACAGGGACAGCTGATGTGTCTATCACAACCACAGTAAAGGACACGATCTGTGTGTCTGTGGAAACATCTAAGCCAGATCACATTTCTGTGTATAGATGCTACATCTTTATCTTTGTTTTTCTTAGGACTGACAGCTCCTTCAACTTCATGCAGTTCTTTTTTGTGTTCATGGCCCAAGTTGGCATCAGCATCATCCAATGCATCGGCATCCCTGGCTGGGGTGTGTGGTAAGAGTCCGAAACTGAAAATGTATTGAAATCATTTAGCTCAACTTGTTTGTATAATGTAATATGTTTTCTAATTTTTTTTGTTGATTTCTTGAAGAAAAGAAAATAAGTTTATGTTCATTTAGAAAGAGTTTCTAACATAAAAGGATACTTGAATGCCAGGGGCAACTCTTTATCTTGTGTTGCTGGATCTCACTCTATTTATTCAATTTGAAATAAATGTACTAAAGTAAGAAAAAATTCTAATGCGATCCCCTAACATTAAGGTGAAGCGAACAAGCATTTTAAGTAATACTCGAGCACAGTCTTTACAAAGGTTCACTGAATTTATTTCTCACATTTGAGGTGATAAAGTCCTAACTACTGGAATCACAGTTGTTTTGTTAAGATTTCAAAATCTGCTTGAGAATGAAACATTCAGAGTTGAAGCTCTAAGTCTGGTCAGGAACTATTTCTAAATGCCTTGTTCCCTGCTTTCATTAACATGACAGTGATGGAACATTAGAAATTGCCCTCATATAACTTTAATGATTGCCCTATTATTAGGCTTTGAGAGGCTGTTAAAGAGAACCTCAAAATGTCACTCGACTCAGACTGATGATCAGGAATTAATATTATGACAGCCTCCATAAAGTTTATAAATGTCACCGTTTGCAGCCATATATCATCATGTATGAGCTTTAAAATGTTTAAACTTTATATAGCAGCACTTACAATTCACAAGACTACTTACATTATGCGTGCAGATGTTGAGTGATTGTGTCATGTTGTGTTCATAGTCTTCAATTGATCTTTATTTGAAATGTATTTTGTTAATGTTCTTTTTGTTGCTTTCAGTGGTTGGTTGGCTACGATCTCCTTCTTCAGCTATAATATTTTGATCGCTCTCATCATGTTGGTCCCTACCATCATGTTCACTGCAGTGGCTTCTCTGTCCTTCATCGCTCTCACCAGGGTAGGAATTTAGCCTCTGCATTTCTAGAAAGGGAAATGACGACAGACAGGAAATCTATGTGAATACACGATCCGTGTTCATTATGTCTGTGAACAATGTTGTACATTATTTTTTTTATTTTTTTTGCATTGCCTGTTTATTCTTCAGCCGTAATTAAGTGACAATTAAAAAAAAACAAGCGAGAAGTATATCTATCTAAAACAAAGCAAAATAAAGTTAAACTTCACAAGCTTTTAAAAGTCCAAATTCAACCTTCCTTTGTACCATTAACATGGCATGTCCTTGAAAAATGCAAAAAATTTCCATAGCTCTATATGACAATAAATTAAGTTTTTAAATCACTTACCTTCCAAACATGAAGGCCTGTCAGTAATAACTTGATTCCACCTTGCCTTCAGATCCATAATTACTACCGTGGCAGCGGGGCCAGCATGTCCAAAGCTCAGGAGGAGTGGGCAACAGGAGCCTGGAAGAACCCACACGTCCAGCAGGCGGCCATGGGTGCAGCTGCCGGGGCAATGCAGGAGCAGCACTCCAGCCCTCAATACAACGAAAACCAGATGTAGCCTCTACAACACAGAGGTGGCAAAAAAATAATGGGACAGCTATGCCAAAGTTTTTAACAAAAGGGTTGGAAAGGGTTTGCCTCTTCTGAAAAAAATGTTTCCCTTTTAAGCTAATTTATGAAATGTTTAAAAAATGTAGCTCACTTTTATTACACGTTCAGTTTTTACATTTTCACCCCGTCGCTGATTCAGCAAGTTTCAGTGATTTCAAGCAATTTCATCATCAACTTATAGCTATGAACATCAGTGGGAAACTGGTTTTCACATGCCTGTATTAAAGGGCATTGTAATGATTTGTAGAACTTTTCATTGGTTCGTTGTTTGTTTGAGAAGGAAATGAAACTAGTTTTGAATGTGTCTTACGTTGTTCTTTAGTAGACCATGAGAGCTTTGTATGTACTCTTTGTGTTGATCTGTTGTTCTAGCAATTGTTGAGAAAAAAAGGTAAAATAAGTTTTTTTTTTCTTTAAATAAAACACATAGAAATAGATGTGCAGAAACATAGTTTGTCATTGTGTTTAAAAAAGCACGTTTAGAGTCTGTTGAAAATGTAAAGTTAGCTGTTTTCTAATAGTACACCAATGATTGAATTGTAACCTTGATTCTACTTTATTTTACCTCATAATAGTTTGACTACATTTTTATGCAGATTGTTAAAGAAGGTTGTAAGGATTCGTTTTTGTTACAATATAAACTGTATTATAGCTAAACTTCCTCTAAATTGGAAATAAATTAAAAATGTGAACATACTATTGTCATGTTTACTCTGTGCTGACATCAGATTTACACCACAAAAATAATCAAATCGGTGTTAAAAATAAAGTGATATTTCATACCCATAATATTGTAGTCACCTCTAGTTGATTCAAAAATGTCTTATTACTGAATGTATATCTAGCATGTGTCCTATTCTAAATGGTTTCATGCAGTGTATGAATGCACCTCTCCTGCTGTGTGGCTGTGTGGCCACTGAGAGGCGCTGATGATTTAGGAATGAAAAAAGAGCCAACATTAAAACATTACCTTCATTCATCCTTCACAGATCATAGTCTGTATTTATGCCAGTCCTATCGCTTTCCTTCCATGCTCTCTTTTTTCTCTGTCACCCTCTCCCCATATTGCGTTGTTATTCTCCCTCCCCATGCCAGAAAACAAACCCCACTGTGAATGAGAACTGTGGAGCTCAAGGTAATCACTACACACACATTCCATCATTGTGATATTTTATGATAATAGTATTTTTTAAATATGTAAACGGCAATAGATGACACGATTAAACTTACAGTCATTTGGAGTGGCTGTCTTGGTTTGTTGTTTTTGTTATACGCTGCTTAGAGGCTCCTTCAGGATGGTTGAATGATCATCACCCACGCTCTCCTCCCATCAAGTTGGGGTCCTGAAACAGAAGAAATAGCGTTTCTTTCTGACCTTTGGCCACCCTTCTGCCTGACGCATATTTGGTAAAGGATTGCATTTCTTATTTCTTCTTATTTCTTGTTTGGAGGGTACCCAGAAAAGTGAAACCACTGTTTTAATAAAGGATGTCATGATGGATTGGTAAAGATGCAACTCCACATTTATTTCACTAAGCTTTTGCTTCAATGAAAGGTCCTGTGGTTTTGTTTTCCTTTTTAAAAAACAAATGATCTCAATGATAGATGATGGTAGCCTACTGTTAATACATTAAAGCAACTTGGCAGATTCATACGTTTGTGTCTTATGAAAACAAGTATTGAACACCATCATTGGTTAGATGAAAACTCGTGACAGACTGCATAGTTTAATGTCCACAGATTGCACAACATTCATTACATCAATCTTCCAAAGTTGCTCAGTGAGGTTACTTTGCATAAAGAGCCTCTTTGTTTGAGTATTTTGTTATATTTGCTCCATTTAATAAAGATGTTATACTCAATCATGACAATGTGACTTTAAATTGTTTCCATTACATTACACACAGCAAATGGTACTGCAGCAACATTTAAACACTGTTAAAAAGGGAAACTGAAAATAGACGACACATTCTTTGCCTTTAGGTGGTAGTATTGCTTCTCTGTGGCTGAAAAACATTTACACAAACTGTCCACCGGAGGCACTATATAACTATTATTTGTTTTCTCTCTACTAATATATTAGTAAAGTCTGTACAAGTACATTGCATATTTGACATAGTTAGGGTTATTAACACTACTTTTCTGATCAGAAACTGTTTTGAATCTTAGCTAATACATTATTTTACCATGCCATCCTGTGTGTAAGTGACCGTAGTAGAATAAATAGAAAATAATTTGATTTATCTTTTAATGTCCTTGTTTCTACTGTCTGCCTCTCCCGGCATTGTTGGGAGAGTGATGGAATTACTCTGTGGACAGGGGGATGAAATTATACAGCAATACAGAAACCCAGAGGACCCACCAGCAGCCACCAACAAACACTGTAATTGCCTTGCACATGGAAATCTCCTGTGACAGGTGTTGACAGAAAAGACTTGTGCCTTCAGGTAAACAGGACTGGTTGTCAGCCACAGAATATAGTCGTTGATTCATAACAAATCAAGACTTCACCAAAGTTTCTCCCGATAAAATTCAGTTCGGTCTACTTTTAAAATATGCATCGACATGCATGGCTTTACTAATTTCATGCCAGTTAGAAAAGAAAAAGCACATCTGACCAAAATGTCAGCTGTGTGTTAACATGAGGTTGTCGGTTGCTGCAGCCGATCATTACAGCAGAGCTATGTTTTAATCTGACTTGATGTTCCGATACAAGCAAAGGAATTCTTGAGCAACATCCTCTAAAGCCCTGCATCTGTGTTGGTGGTGCTGCATTAGTTTTTTTTTGTGACACTCTTACAAAAGGTGGAAGGTATTTTGGGATGAAGAAAGCGAAAAAGGAGACACCCCCCCTATCCATCCATCTTATTTTTTGGAGAAAAAAAAAGTTTTCTTGACAACATCCTATTTGAGCAAACATTGAAACTTTAACTTGTGTCATCTTACAGCTTTTATGAGTCTAATACATATACATAAATATTAGTTTTAGCTTACACAAGCTGTAAACACAACACTGTAGGAAATGATTGCTTATTTATATATCCAGCGGATAGGAGCAACATTTGCATTAATTTGGAGTAGTGCGTATGGCCACTAAATTGATATTTACTCCCCGTTTCCCTTTTTTTTTTTTTATCACTAAATGCTCCTATATGTTCAACAGCTAGGAACTCAATTTTACTTTTACTTGTTTGTATTCAGCTCCCTTTTTCCTCTCCAGACACAGATGCCTGCTGTGTCTGGAGAGTGATCCAATATAGTAATGTTTAAAGCCTCAGAATCAAAACAATGAGCTGAAAGACTCTGAAATGTGCATTTCTCTTGAGGAGTGTCAAGTGATCGTGTTTACTCATGCATTCTCTGCACATACAAAGTAAAATCAATGACAACAGCAATTTTATGTTGTAAATTTCTGAACTTGTCGTTTGGAACTGTGTATTTTGAATTGTGATTTTTTTTCGTTTTCAGGCAAATTTTAAATCTGTAAAAAGATGCACTGCAGTTGGTAAAGTGGGGGATTTAAAGACTTGCTGTGTTGATTGGGAAAAAAAGGCTAGCCAACTGAAGCACAAATGAAGGAGAGAAAGCAATTTATTTCTTGTGGGAATTAGAAGTAATTGAAAATCAACAATGAGGTATTTATAACTCTTTTTTATGCTACATTCACAACTAATAAAATTCAGTAATATGCATGTCTTCCTCATTATGAGTCATGCCGACAGGAGAGAACAGGGGGGTTGAAGAGGGGAGGGAGGAGGTAAGGTTCACATAAAGGACACTGTGTGACCTTAAGTTTACAGAGCACAGAGGGCCTTTTATTTCTCAGGAGAGCTGGAGATAGAGTTCCCTTTCATGCCGTTAAACACATACACACATTACCGTCTGGATAAAGGTGTACTGATGCAGAGTCATGCCCTCGCACAGGCATTCTTTTGTGTTTGTGAAACACACAGATACACATGTGCTCATGTAACTGGGGTCCCCCAGCATCCAGCAAGTCTCCTATAAAACTGCTCTGAGGTAAAAGGCTCAGTCATTCTGTGGGCAAATTGCAACAGAAGTGGGATTGGAAGAAGGCTGAGTAGGAAACAGTTTCTTTTCAAACATGGGAATTCACACAGGGTTAGAAAAACAGCTAACTTTTTGACATTTTGACTTTAACTGAAGGATACTTATTAAGACAAATCCTTTTTTTGCTATTGGAAATACAGTGCTGACCTAGACTTATAACAAGTTTATCACATGAAACACACATTTACATTGAGTTTACCAAATGACCCAAAGAAAAAGACTGTATGACTGTTTGGATCTGTGAGTGTTAATCTACAGTTGAAGGCTTAGTCATTTTTTTTACGGTTATGATCATGCTGCCTTGAAGTAGAAAAATATATATCTTCATCATTGTTTGCACTTAGTACTAATTATTTTGCTAATCTAAAGGGTATTTTGTTAATCATGTTCCTTAAAGCCGATGACCCAAAGAAAAAGAAAATGCCTTGGTACAGTGACTGATCACACTGCAAGACATCATTAAACAAAACAGAAACTTAAATCAAAGGATTTCATTGAGATCATCAAAAGTTTGCTTTGACTTGAAATATACATTTATATCAGTGTTGAAAGTTGAAATGCAGTAGCCTAATGGTACGTGCCAAATGACAATCTTACAGCAGTGCCATTTAATGGTTTCACTGTTTGTTATGTTTTACTTTAATTCTATTTTTTTGGAAACACATTACTTTGAGAACATTCTCGATTAGATCTGTATGGTTTCTGCTTAAATGTATGATTACACTTAAACTCTAAAAACCTACTGTAGGTGTTCATGTTACCTTAATCTCTATTCATAGACTCTACATAGAATTTTACAATCTGTGGCAGGATTCTGGACTATAGTTCCCATGCTATATATAGTATGGAAAGTGTTCTGTTTTTTTTTCTTTCTGAAGTACTGAAGAAAACTATCTGCTTAACACTGTGTCGTGAAAGCCAACTGAAGTTTCCTGGAACGCATCAGAAATAATCGATCAGGCATCTATTAAACAAACAGCATTTTAAAAGCTGTTTTCGTCTCATCTTGTGGACGAGACAAAGTTTGTATTATACTTTTAGAAAATCCGAATCATGAGCTTGGAATTTAAGTAAAATTAACTCCCATATATTGCAAGTATAAATTACAAGAAAATTGGTGTCTTTCTCATAATGCAAGAGCAGGCCAAAATTAAGCCTTTGTGTGATTTAAGATTCACAGATTAAACAATAACAGACGAACCCATGTTCCTTCAGGGCAGAAAATAATGAACCAAGAAATGACAACATTTACTTTTTGCAAACATACCTGGAGGGGCGAATTTGCTTCTCTTTTGATCTGAAGACAGTGTTGCTTCTTGAGTTGCTCATTGGACAGTAAACAATGCAACCCATGGAAAAGGAAGTCTTGCCTGGAAGACGCTTTTCTGGCCAAACCTAAATGCCTGAAAAGTTCAATGTCACTTACAGAGGATATAATGTCTTCAGATAGCAGCCATTTGGTATTGGATATTGATATCTATAATGAGGAGGTCCACAGTGTAATCATTTGCTATTGTCTTTAGTCAGATAAGGTCATTGTACTCATGCTTCTCTCTGCTAAACATGTCCAGCAGCAGCTCGTCAGCTTAGAAACAGCTTGGACCCAAAGTTACAAAATCTGAC